TCTAGGAGTTTTGTAGTTTATGTTTTACTTTTATGTCTGATCCATTTTGAGTTAATTTTTATGAATGATATAAGGTCTGTTTTTGATTCATTTCTTGCATATGGATGACTACTTGTGCAGCACCATTTGTTGAAAATACTAACTTTTCTCCTTTATGTTTATCATTTTGGAAGACCCTATTTATTATTCAGGGTAAAGTAAAGGTGAAATAGTTTAGTATAGAGATTATAAATGCCATGAGAAGTCATGTTTAAAAAGAGCCTTTTCGGGGCGCCTGGGTGGCTCAGTCGGTTAAGCGTCCGACTTCAGCTTAGGTCACGATCTCGCGGTCCGTGAGTTCGAGCCCCGCGTCGGGCTCTGGGCTGATGGCGTGGAGCCTGGAGCCTGCTTCCGATTCTGTGTCTCCCTCTCTCTCTGCCCCTACCCCGTTCATGCTCTGTCTCTCTCTGTCTCAAAAATAAATAAAACGTTAAAAAAAATAAAAAAAAAAGAGCCTTTTCTCTAAACTTTATATGTGGTTTAAAATTTTTTAATTCATTAATTTATTATTTTTATTGAAGTATAGTTGACATACAACATTGTTAGTTTCATGTGTACAACATTGTGATTCGACATTTGTTTACATTACAAAATGGTCACTATGATAAATCTAGTTACTATCACCATATAAAGTTATTACAATACTATTGACTGTATTTCCTCTGCTGTACTTTACCTCTATGACTTACTTGTTTTATAACTGGAAGTTTGTACCTCTTAACTCCCTTTGCATATTTTTCCTGTCCTCCTACCCCCTCCCCTCTGTAACCACCAGTTTTCTCTCTGTATTTATGAGTTCATTTCTGTTTCTGTTCTGATTTGTTTTTTAGACTCTACATATAAGTAAAGTCATACGGTGTTTGCTTTTCTCTGCCTGACTTATTTTACTTAGCATAATACCCTCTAGGTCCATCCATGTTGTCACAAATGGCAAGATTTCGGGCACCTGGGTGGCTCAGTCGGTTGCGCATCTGACTCTTGATTTCTGCTCAGGTCATAATCTCAGGGTTATGGGATTGAGCCCCGTATAGGGCTCAACCGTGAGCATGGAGCCTGCTTTAAATTCTTGCTCTCTCTCTCTTTCCCCCACTCGTATGCTAGCTATTTCTCTCTGTTAAAAAAAAAAGTCAAGTTTCATTCTTTTTTTATGGCTGAGTATATGTTTCATTATGTAGATGTATATTTTTTATATATATTTTATAAATTTATATATATATATTTATATATATTTGAATAATATATATCCACACAACACCACATTGTCTTTATCCATTCATTATTGATGGACACTTAGGGTGCTTCCATATCTTGGCTATTGTAAATAATGCTGCAGTGAAAATGCGGTGTGTGTATCTTTTTGAATTATTGTTTTTGTTTCTTTGGGTAAATGTCCAGATTTGGAATTGCTGGATTGTCCGGTATTTCTATTCTTTTTTTTTTTATTTCAACTTTCTGTAATGGTTTAATCCCTTAAAAATTTTATTTAGTATTTAATGAAGCTAAAACTAATTTCTGTGATACAGTCATTTTCTGGTTGAAAAATACTTCTAACTCTTTAATATTTTTCTCTTAAGTCTATATCCTAGTTGTTACTGGATATGCATACTATACAACCATATAATGTTTCTTATATTTCAGCCATTAAAAAAAATTATTTTAGGTAGAGAGAGAGAATGAGCAGGGGAGAGGAGCAGAAGGAGAGAGAATCTTAAGCAGGATCCATGCTCAGCACAGAGCCTGAGGTAGGGCTTGGTCCCAGGACCCTGGGATCATGACCTGAGCTGAAATCAGCAGTTGAACACCCAGGGCAACTGGGTGGCTCAGTCAGTTAAGCGGGCCGACTCTTGATTTCAGTTCAGCTCATGATCTCATGGTTCGCAGTTCAAGCCCCACATCAGGCTCTGTGCTGACATTGCAGAGACTGCTTGGGATTCTCCCTCTTCTTCCACCTCTGCCCCTAACCTGCTGTCTCTCTCTCAATAAATAAATAAATAAATAAATAAATAAATAAATACACAAACAACAACAAAAAATGGGTGGTGCCCCTAGTGTAGTCATTTAAAATGGGCCAAAAACAGGTATCATCTCTCTTAGGGTTTGTGTTAGTGTTCTATTCCTGCTGTAATAAATTGCCACAAACTTGGTAATTTAAAACAATATAAATGTATTCTCTTATATTTCTGGAGATCAGATGTTGGAAATGAGTCTTGTGGGCCTAAAAGCAAGTTGTTGATGGGGCTGATTTCTTCTGCAGGTTCTTGGGGAGAATCCACTTTTCTGTTTATCCAGCTTCTAGAGACTTTCCTTATTCCTTGGCTCTTGGCACCACATCACAGTGCCTTTTCTTCCCCCCCCCCCTTTTTGTTTTTTGTTCACATTGTCTTCTCTGACATTGTCCCTTTTACTTCTCTCTTATCAGATGCTTATGTTTATATTGGGCTCACCTGGATAATCTAAAATAACTTCCCCATTCCACCATCCTTAACTTACAAAACTCCCTTTTGCTGTATAAGGTTACATATTCCTAGGTTCTGGAGAGAAGGGTGTAGTCGTTTTGGGGGGCCTGCTATACAATTGAAGAGATAATCAAATGTAGGTGTTTTGCTCCCATAAATGTATTTCTTTGAATTTTTTGTCCTAATGTTCTATTCATATTTACTATTTTGTAATTATCGCTCCTTATTAGTTATTTCATATTTTATTTTTGAAGTTTATTTCATTCCTTTAATTATTATTATTTTTTTATTTTGCATTTTTCCCTATTGGTCTTTAGGAATTTGATTTACAGAAGGTTAATGGTAGTAGTAATGGTTTTAGAGCATTATTATTTTCAAGTATAATTTCCTATTAATTGGTATACTTTTGTGAAATCATTCACCCTCTTTTTTGGACTCATTCTGCAGGTACATAAACACATGTTTTTACCATCTTACCTGGTACATTTTAAATTGTGCCCTATCCTTTTGTCATGCGATTCTTTTGGTGGTGAGGAGATACAAAGAAGGAACCTTCAAGAAGCTTTAAGTTCATATGGGTGTAATTTTTTCCAGAACTCAGTCCTTATGAATTTGTGTTCTCAAAAGTGACCTTTAAAAATGAACTTTCTCTGAAGAGATTCACAGAGAAAAAGATCTATAACCAATTTATTATGAAGAAAGGACTTATTACTTAATATGCAAACCAGCAGGAATTTATCAGGAAATCTGTGTGGATTTAGAACACAGTTCACGGACTGTTGAATGATGATGATATAAATGATAATTGCTACTTACTGAATTCTTACTTGATGGGAGGCACTATGCTAACAAGTTTTTAAATATTATCTCATTGTATTCAGAACAACCCTGACAATTTGGTATTATTATCAATTTTTCCCATGCTAAAACTGAAGATGAGAAAATCAACATGATTAAGCCATTAAATTGAATCTGTTCTCATTTGATATAATTATACTCTTACCATTATGCCATGATGATTTTACTTGGGAGGTAGTAATGAGCTCTGACAGTATGGTATATCCTTCTTCATTACTTTGGCCATGAACTCGACTGGTTAGGGCGATTTGTCTTTTGAACATTGCTAGGTTTCTGTTATAAATAATCTTGGGCTGCCTGGGCATCTCATTTAAGCATCTGACTCTTGATTTCAGCTCAGGTCATTATCTCATGGTTCATGAGATTGAGCCCTGCATCAGGCTCAGTGCTGACAGCGCAGAGCCTGCTTGGATTCTCTCCCCCTCTCTTTCTCGCCCTGCTCACCTTCTCTCTCAAAATAAATAAACATTAAAACAAAAACTTTGCTCATTAGTTCTTTTCCCAAATTTCACTCAATTCTCCATCTGAGTTCTCTTTTTGTCAGTTTCACCTGAAACTCATTGCAGTATAATGAGGAGATTTTAGCTCTCCTAATAGCATTCCCTGAGGTTGTACCCTGTTCAATTTGATTGAAATTGAGTTTTCAAAATATTGATCAACATTGTATGTATAAACAGATCTCTCTTAGTGGGCATTTCTTCTGCCTATGATTACTTATTCAATTAGTATCGATCCATATAAATTCCAATTTAAGAAAGTAACATTTTCTGATCTTATTTTCCAGTTTTGAAGTTTTCCCTTATTGACAGTCTGTTGTCACTTACATATTAATTACCTATTTTCAATGGTACATGGCACAGTTCTTTAAGATATTAGTATACTATATATAATAGTGTTTCTAGAGGTGTTTGTTCCCCACCACCACTCCCTGTTTTCTTGTGGCTTTAATGTGGGTGAATTAGTTTGAAATTCCCTTTGGGGCAGATTTCAAGGTATAAAAAGTCACAGAAAGGCAACATGTGGCCTATGTAGTTCTGTAAAGAATTGGGGAAGTATATTATCTTTATAGTGATGTATTGGAAAGATCTGGGGACTTATGCTCATTTCCTCAGTGACAGCTCAGTCCTGAGTCCTCATCAGAACAGTTTTCTTCAACTCTTAAAACACACCCCTCACAAAATAAACACAGCTTCTTCCCAGGTTGTCACTTTGATTTGGTTTATTTTACCTGAGGCACAGATCTGACTTCAGCTATATTCCATTTGAGATTTGAAGTAAATTGAGATTCTGCTTTAGTCATATTAATTCATTTTAGGCCCTACACTTCTCAACCTAAGTGTCTGTACTCTGTGAGGTAGATGGCTTAGTTGTAAAGTAAAATGAACACCATACATTATAATATATTTCAAAGCATCTTGAATTTGTTTTTTGCTTCCAAATATTTTCTTCCATTTTGCTAATGCTAACATTTAGTAACTATCGTGATGATGCGAAAGCTGTTTGGTTTTATCATTCTAATGATTCTGAAGGACTGTTATAAAGGTGAAAATGAAAGGAAGCAGAAGCGTAATACATGTATAGTTTCCTTGAAAGGCTCTGTTTCTTAAAGAAGTTGAACTAATTTATATTTAATGTGTTCTTTTTCAGTATTGTGCTTCTGCTAAGCCAGAAACAGTCACTTGAAGAGCTGAAACAGTCAGTCCAGCAGTTGAGATGCACTGAGGCAAAGTTTACAGCACAGAAAGAATTACTAGAACAAAAAGTACAAGAAAACGATGGGAAAGAGCCACCTCCAGTAGTAAATTATGAAGAAGATGCACGATCAGTTACATCTATGGTAAGCCAAAGAGTAATCAAATGAGAAACTTGAAAGAAGAAGTATCTAGGTAATAAATGAATATAAAAATTAATTCTTTTGCTATGACAAATTGTTTTTCTTGTTAATATGCAGGCCCTGTTAACTGGAGAGTGTGATGCTAAGTGAAATAAGCCATACAGAGAAAGACAGATACCGTATGGTTTCACTCTTATGTGGATCCTGAGAAACTTAACAGGAACCCATGGGGGAGGGGAAGGAAAAAAAAAAAAAAAAGAGGTTAGAGTGGGAGAGAGCCAAAGCATAAGAGACTGTTGAGAACTGAGAGCAAACTGAGGGTTGATGGGGGGTGGGAGGGAGGAGAGGGTGGGTGATGGGTATTGAGGAGGGCACCTTTTGGGATGAGCACTGGGTGTTGTATGGAAACCAATTTGACAATAAATTTCATATATAAATTAAAAAAATAAATAAATAAATAAATAAAAAAAATAAAAAATAAAAAAAAATATGCAGGCCCTGTTAAACTTGTTTGTAAATGCAAAATAGATTTGTCAGTCATGTCAGGTCACCTGGAGAACATTTTTGGGAACCACCTGTAGAGTCAGAGGAAAAGCTCTTCTCTGGCCTTTAAAACTGAATACAAAGACTGCAAATGTTTTTATTCCTGGAAGACAGAAGGCAGGGTGTTATTAATAAGATAGAAGTAAGAAATAAGGAGAAAGCTATTTATTATTTTTTTCTTCTTAAGAACAGTAAAATCTTATTTGTCTGAGATTGATGATATATTTATTATTTTCACAACACATTTGATTTTGTTTAAAAATAGATTTTTTTTACTTATATTCTTAAACTACAGTAAACACATTCAAACCCACCAACTAGAAATTCAACTACATTTTATATTTTCATGACCTATTTAAGAATGCCTAGTATAAATACTTTCCCTCCCCTTCTCTCCCTTCCTCCCTCCCTCCCTCTCTTCTTTTCCTTTTTTCCTTCTTCCTTTCCATCTTAGGTTGGTGGTTCTCACCAAGAGGACAGTTTTGCCCTCCAGGGGACATCTGGCAATGTCTCCAGATATTTTTGGTTGTTACAGTTAGTGGTATCTGATGGGTAGAGGCCACTGATGCCTCTAAACATCCTATAATGCACACGACAACCTTTGCCTTCATATTCCCAACAAAAAAGTATCCAACTCAAAATATCAGTAGTGCTCAGGCTAAAAAAGCCTGAGGTATGTCCTTGGCTTTTTCTGTGAGTAGCTGTATGTGGTCCATAAATAGAACTATCATAGTTGATGATGCTATAGCTGATATTTTAGTCATTTTTAGTTTACGTGGTTCTGAATAGTATAACTTGATTATTAAACATATTCAGATGTCTCTATTGAAAGCAAAGGCAGTATTTGAAAACGTGATAAATGAATATGAAATATTTAAATTATTATGGTTGTTCCCATTTTTGTTATTAATTGAGCCGTGTTAATCTGTAAGTTACATGACTCAAATTAATGGCAGTGTTAACCAATACACTTATGCTTCAGTAGTGAATGCTTTTGTGGAGGAGTGCCTTAAAGAACTGTACCACTAAGATGGGCCACAGATTATGTATTCATTTAAAAAAATTTTTTTTAATGTTTATTTATTTTTGACAGAGAGACAGCATGAGCGAAGTGGGGGAGGGTGAAGAGAGAGAGGGAGACACAGAATCTGAAACAGGCTCCAGGCTCCGAGCTGTCAGCACAGAGCCCGGTGTGGGGCTTGAACTCATGGACAGTGAGATCATGACCTGAGCCGAAGTCAGATGCTCAACCGACTAAGCCATCCAGGCGCCTTGATTGTGTATTCTTATACATGTGATTAAAATGTATAATCAGAGTTAGGATTGTATAGTCAGGTTCTTAGAGGTGTTGATGTTTATTTTGGCTCTAAAATTTAATTACAGTGAAAGCCCATCTATTTATTTACAGAAATCTAAAAAAAAATTGTGGAGGCAGAAAACATAATCATCTCTGTCAGGAGAAGCCATCTTAATGTCTTTTTTTTAAAACTAGGTCTAATTTTGGCCAAAATTCCAAGGAGAGTATGATAAATATTAAGTACTGTGCAAAAATTCTCCATTGTCTGGGCATAAGTATGTTTCATTTATTCATTTGAGCAATATTTATTGAGTCAAGCACATTTCTAGATGGCTTAAGATACATCAGTGAATAAAACTAATTAAAAAAACCTCTCTTAGAGGTCACATTCTGTAGTGAGTGGCAGTTAATAAATGAGTAATAAACTATATACTATTTTGGAAGATTCTAAATGCCAAGAAATAGAAACAGAGCAGGGTAGAGGGTTGGGGGTCTAGAAGTTGGGACACAATTTTAAATCCAAGTCGGAATACCCATCACTGGGTAGTTGACATTTGAACAAAGACTGGAGACAGGGAGCTACTACACCCCTTCATTTCTGGGGAAAGAGCGTTTCAGTCAGAGGGTGCACCTGTTGCACAGGCTATAATGCAGGAGCATGTTGGACTATTCAAGGTATGATTAAGGAAGTCTGAGTGGAGGGGAAGGTGAGAGTATGGGGAATGAGATTAGAGAAGTATTAGGGAATAGACCTTGGGGCTTTGTGGACCATAATTAAGGCTTATGACTTTTCTCTGAGTGAAATGGGAAGCCACTAGGGTGGAGAGTAATAACAGAGGAATGACATGCTCTGACTTTTTATTTAGATGGATTGCTGCAGCAACTATGTTGAGAATTTACTTAAGGGAATAAGGATGGAAGAATGAGATTATTGCAGTAACCCACATTATAGAAGATCATGGTTTGGGCAAGGATGGTAGCATGGGAAGTAGCAAGAAGTGTTTAGCTTCTGGATGTATTTTGAAGGTTGAGCCCAGGAGATTTCCTATGGATTAAATGTGAGTTATGAGAGAGAATAGTCAAGGATGATTTTAAGGTTTTTATCAGGAGAACTATAGGAATACAATTTGTTTCGAGTGAATGGAAAGATATACCTAAGTAGCTATGATGAGGCAGAGCAAGATTTCAGTTTGTCTTTCTAAAAAAACAAGTCATTGTCAAAATTTGGTATTTGGGCCTTGTGTTCAGGAGTGCGATTTGGATTGGAGATATAAATTTGAGAGTCTAGGTATCACATGGTATTTAAAATCATTTGACTAGGGATGCCTGGGTGGCTCAGTCGGTTAAGCATCCGACTTTGGCTCGGGTCATGATCTCACAGCTGGTGAGTTTGAGCACTGCATGGGGCTCTGTGCTGAGAGCTCAGAGCCTGGAGTCTGCTTCAGATTCTGTGACTCCTTTACTATCCTATATGATAATAAGTATTATCCTATATGTACCAGGACCCTTTCTTGATTCTTAATAACTATGTGTATATGCATTCTTACAGAGGAACTTCTGAAGTTTTTTCTTTTACTTGGGTTTTGAAAATCTTAGCTAGTAAATCTTTTGTTCTCTGAGTAGTTTATAATATTTCCTTGTCTCCATGTGGGTGATTCTGTGTCTCCCTCTCTCTCTCTGCCCCTCCCCTGCTCACGCTCTGCCTCTCTCTCTGTCTCTCTCTCAAAAACAAATAAACATTAAAAAAATAATAAAATCATTTGACTATAGGCAGTCACCAAGTGAGAGAGAATAGAGAAGAAAAGAGAATCAAGGACTGAACTCTGGGGCACTTCAAGTTAGTTGGTCTAGAAAAGGAAGACCTGGTGGGAGACTAAGGAGTGACCAGTGAGGTAGTAGAAAATCAAGGTAATTTGGTGTCCTTCAAGTATTCCAATGAGAAATGAGTTCCAGAATTTGGGACATGCTGGATTAAGGCAAAAGAAACCTTTGTACTAACTGCAGGCTTTTTGGAACTTTTAATATCCATTGCCTATGAAGGGAAGTATAGCATGGGATGTAGTGTCTCTGAAAATATTGACCTAATTCCTTTTCAGAGAGTATCCTAAAGGGACCATAGTGCAATGGAATATACTTTGGGAAATACTGAATTAGAAGAGAAATCCTTTCTTTTCTGATTGGGTTGTTGACAGATTAAACGTGCTGCTGATAATTCTAAAGTCATTTTGAGTTGTCTAAATGTTCTCTAAACCCAAGGATTATTTTATTTTATTTTATTTTATTTTATTTTATTTTATTTTATTTTATTTTATCCTTCAATTCTAGCTGTGCAGGACAGAGGAATTTGCCTTTTGGAAAATATTAGGAAGGGAACTATTTGTTGACTGTCCTTGGATACTGATGGAAATACCAGAATTTTCTAATCCCTGAGTATCATTAGCTGACTTTACTATTTTTAAAATTAATTAATTAATTAATTTAAAAGTATCACCTTTCTTCATGTTTGCTTTTAGTTGTCTAGATGTAAGAACGTAAGCTTTCAATCAGTATCTGTTGAGTTGAGGAAATCGATTTTATTTTCACTCCAGAGTAATCTAGTTGTTTTACTTTATAATAGCATGTGCTATGCACCAAATATGATAATTTTTGTTGAATCTTTCTTATATGTCGGATATATCTAGAATTGATGGTACTATATAATGAGTTCTTACTTTTTAAATATGGTTAGCTATTCTGAAAGATAATTGCCTTTACTTTGATGTTTCTGAAATTGCACATTTTTAAGCTCTTTTGCTAGACTAATATGCAATATATATTTATCTTCTCTGCAAATCTTATTGAGTAAGTTCTGCTTAGTTGAACAGCACTATCAATAAAATCCTGTTTTGTTATATTTACAACCAACAAAATATATGGTTTGTTGACTAAATATTGTCTGTCATTATGACTCAGTAATAGTCCATTTTACAGTACTGTCTGATATTTTCAATTTTATACTTAAACACTGAAATGGACTGACTATCAGTTGAGGTTGACAGCATCATTGAAGCTTTTTCTGTTTTCATTATCAGGTACACTTTCTTTCTTTAAATGCAAATTCAAAGACTTGCTCATCAAATACATTGAGAAAAGTATGAGACAAAAAATCAGGAGACCCGAATTG